ATTAACGTCGAGACACGGGCGGGTGTTTCTGGGAAGTGGCACAGGAAGCATAGATTCGAGAGGATGTCCTCGGGCGTCTCGCTTCAGCAACGTGGCCAGCCTCCGCCGTCTCATCGTCATTCGCGTCATTAATATCGGTCGTCATCGATCTCGGGTGAAATTCCTTCTTTATTATACAACGTGGCGCAGAAAATTTCATCGGTGATGATTAAGAAATTGAAATACTATATTTTACATCTGAAAAGATTGCGTCGCATGATTTCCATCGCCACACTGAGAAAAAAATCTGGTTGCATTAGAAGTAGATTAGATTCTGGTAGATTTAACCAACATGTCTGTTGGAAAATGGACGAATCAGAATTCTTGTACGAATTATCAGATGAATCCGATTAATTTTTTCCTGTTAAATTTATCAAATTATCTGGTAAAAATTCAAGGATATTGAACGCTATTCAGAATTTTACTATTAAATATATGCATGGCCAATCTCTGCTGATCAAGTATCAATATTAATTTTTAAAACGACATTTCTGTATCTCAATTATGTATAATAAAAAAATATAAAAATAAAAGGGGGATGCATGTTTTCTAATTAATTAATATTTTTTTTTTAATATTACGCTTCGAAAATGAATTATCGCGCGTGCAGGATTCTCTCTCAGATTAAAATTGAACGACGATCAGCAGATTCAGAGTCGCACTGAGAAAAAAATCTGGTTGTATCAATTAGAATTCTGGTAGATTCAACCAGTATGTCTGTTGGACGAACCAGAATTTTTGTAGGAATTACCAGATGCATCTGATTAATTTCTTCCTGTTAAATTTATCAAATTTTCTGGTTAATAATACTAAACTCGCCAGCATCAAGTCGTCTAAAATTTTTTCCATCTAATCTCAAAAGTCTGTTTAATATTCTGAATTTCAACACGATTATTGCATAAATTCAATCCAGATTATTGAATAAATTATTTTAAATTCAGTTTGTTAAAAATTAAATTGATAAACAGTGATGCAAGAAGAGGATGCAGCTCAAACACACAATCAGAGAGCGTCCTCTTTCTGGCACTACTGCTCGTAAGAGAAAAAAAATATACTTTGGATTTAACGTTAATACTAGTTCTTTATATACATTTATGGCAAATATTGAATACGAGTAAAGTTAAGAGTGGCAAGTAAAGAAATTAATGTAACAAGAAATTATAGATCCAATCAGAAAATACTAACCAAATCCTTATAGTAAAATCTATTAAACGTTCTGGTTATAAAAAATCGAGTCTTATCATGATAACTAGAAATTCTTGTTTGATTTAACCAAAATGCCTTCAATCACGTCTTGTTGATAGAATAGTTGTCAAACGATTTTTCTCAGTGCAACGTAACATTATTTTTTGGATACACTAAGGTCTCTCTTTGTCTAACATCGACATTAGACTACTAGATTCTTGAAGCGTTACCGCGATAATAATCATTTGGCCTCGAAAATGCTAATTTCAATTTTTTTTTTTCGCTTTTTTCCAAGCGCGATATAAAAGGTGCGGATGAGTTTTCCGTTCTCGCGCATCGACCGCGGCCGCGGTACGAAAGGAGACGGAGTGTACTCTTAGGATCTCTGCGGTCTGCTACATCTATTTATAGCGCGCGTCTTACACACTAATGTGCGAGCGTGTGCGCGCGTGTGCCAAGCACATTGGTCGCCGTGCATAACGGGCTTTTATATACGTTGCACTGAATATTCCTCTCGCGGACGCCAGGCAGAGAGACCGCGTACTTCTTTCTTTCTCTTCCCCATCGTCGTCTCATCCTCTCGCTCTCCGCTCGTGCACGCGTACGAAACGCACGTGCGCTCGCGCGCACGCGCGCCACACGTGTCGCCGTCCTTCCTTAGACGCGTCTTGGGACGGATTGGGCGATTTTTCGAAAAAAATACTCTCTAAAAGTGAATCAGTGAAAGTATCACTAATTTAAACAGCAAAATAAGGTTTCACTGAGAATCAGGGAGTATTTTACTGATCTTTAGTGGAAACGTTTATTTTTTATTATTTTTTATCTTATATCTCACTGATTAAGGTAAAAAATTCACTGTAAAACCAGTAAATTTCATTAAAAGCAGTAATCGCTAGTTTGTTCGTTTATCACTATGATCGCTATCTCTCTCATATTTAAGTTTTAGTCTTAAGAATTATATAATGTTTGCAAAGAGCGACAGATAAAATTAGAAATATTACTCCGATTTAATGTCTGATACAATCTCAATAGGTAGAATTCGGATATTAAATCGATTTTATAATTTAGACAAGTAAATGTCTGGCGGCTTAATGAAAATTATTCGTTCGTTGTCTATTTAAAATAACAAGCTGAATATTCATGTAATATAAGTAAAATAAAATTTTTAATATAATAAAAATTTAGTAAATATAAATAAAATTTTTAATTTTATTTGAAATAGATAGATGAATTGTAGTTTAATATTACTGATTGAAACGGTCAATATTATTGACTAATTATTTCAACAAAATATCACTGATTTACACTGCTGTAATCAGTGACTATTTACTATTTTTCAATAATACACTGATTCACTTTTAGAGAATAGAGATATCAGTTTAAAAAAGCACCGACTCCAGACTAGACTAGCTAGTTTTCTCTTTCTCTTTCGTTATTTTGATAGAGATAAGATCGTTTCGATTCTTTTCGACTCAAAAATTAGGACAAAGTCGCTCGTTGGAAAATCCAAAATTTCCAAATTCTAACGCGACCTCTCTCCTCGGTTTTAATTAGCTCCGCAAATTTATTACAGAAGGAACGGCCAGAGCATACACAGTTTGCTCGTTATAAAGGACCACTGTGCGGAGGACAGCGGCGCGTTGTCCGCGGTTGCGTTTGGAAAGGCGATTGGCTTCTCCTCTCTCGTTGCGGTAACGAGATTTGCTTTTTCCGCGCCGGCCTGGCGCGGCGAGACCGGTCACGGCGTCAGTAAATTGACCGATAATGTTGCTTGGCACTGATTACCGGATAGCAATGATGGATACTCGAAGAGGTGGGCGCCCTTCCCTCCGTCGTCGTCGCATGCTCGCGCGTCGCCCCCCCCTCTCTCCCTCCGCCCCCTCCCTCCCTCCTGTCTTGTCCTTTGCCTTTACGTGCACGCCAAGGTCGCTAACCTTACGAGCCCTCGGGTGCTGTTTGGCGCCACACTCTCCTCTCTCTCCCGTACTTTTAGCCGCCGATAACGGAGGGAACGAAACCGGGCACGTGGAGGAAGCGGGCCGACCGGATCGTCGCACCGTCGAGATATTTATAGTTTTCGGAAATGCTACCGCGATGCCTCGATAATCGTAAGGCATTCCTGTTACATTTAATTCGCGCCTGAATATTTCGAGATGCAGGACAGGATGACAAATAGCGTACGATTGTTTTTCGGTGACACGAGTCAAGTCTGTCGGATTCTTTTTTTTTAATCGACTCGAGGCAAGAGCGAAGCGGGAGCAAAATTGACTTTCAGTTATCGTGAAAACAGCCGGGGAAACTAAACGCATCGTGTATTATCGATAATAAGATGAGCGTAGATGTGTATGCGCATGGTCGTTAAGTACTGCTATTTTCTAAATTGACGAATCTCTGGAGGAATGCTCGCGCGAGGGGTCGCGCAAAAAGGCGATCGTCCGTAATCTTCGATCCGCGGGTGAAATTATCTCGCGCTTCGGTTCCTATCCCGCGAGAATTTCCTTTCCTGTTATCCTTAATGTCGCTGCTGAATCTCTCGCATCGCCGTCGTCGCGGAATGCGCGCCGCTCCGGTTTCAACCGCAACGAGCCGCGGCTGCAGAAATAAAAAAAAAAGGATGCCCAACATTATTAAAACCAGTTTATTAAAACCGTGCCGCCATCTCTCGCGCAATTCTTTCTCGCGATCCCGTCCGTAATTACGCGCGATTTATTAACGCGACGCCGATCGGGCGCGGATCTGCCTCTTCTCGCATTTTTCGGGGGGCTTCGAATCAATCGCCCAGTGTTAACAGAACGTTCCGTATTTTTGCTTTTTTTTTTCTTAAATTCGTCATTTCCTTTCGTAGAATTTTTTTTATACGTATTCTTCAAATAAAAAGAAATTAAAAGCTAGTTTCAATTGTCTCACAAAATTGTATAAATTTAAGGAAATTTAAATTATTATTAAATTATTTTTATTAGTACAATATTATGTCAATAAAAAATATTTATATATAATGAGAAAAAGAGAATAGTTTGTGCTATTAAAAAATGGAAGTCTTCTTCATAGAAAGAAATTATTAAAAATAAATAAATTACTTCTTTCATTGCTTCAAAAAATAATTTTAAAGAAATTTAAATTATTATTAGTACAATATTATGTCAAAAAATATATAATATAATGAGAAAAAGAGAATAGTTTACGCTATTAAAAACTGGAAAAATTATGTGCAAGAGTCTTCCTCAAACAGAAAGAAACTATTAAAAATAAATAAATTACTTCTTTCATTGTTCCAAAAAATAATTTTAAAGAAATTTAAATTATTATTAATATAATCTTATTAATAGAAAAAAAATTTATAAATAACAATGAGAGAGAGAAAAGCTTATACCATTTAAAAAAATAGAAAAATAGTGTGCAAGTGTCTTCTTCAAACAGAAAGAAATTATTAAAAATAAATAAATTACTTCTTTCATTGTTTCGAAACATAATTTTAAAGAAATTTAAGTTATTATTAATATGATCCTATTAACAGAAAAAATCTATATAAATAACAATGAGAGAGAGAAAAGCTTATATCATTTAAAACAATGGAAAAATTACAAATATCCTCGATGATGAAGGAACGTGTCAGATGAGATATTGTATGAAATCAATAAAAAAAAGAAAAATTGCAAGTATCCTCGATGACGAAGGAACGCGTTAGATGAGGTACAGGAACCGCCATCTGACGAGCAGAAGGAGGCCGGCTCCGTCGATCGGGACGACTGGAACAGAGTGCGCCGGAGTAGCACCCACGACACCCACGGGCGTGTGTTGACGCGCACGCTTCGCGGAACTACTTTTCGATTACGTGTGTTGCACGGCGATTGCGCGCGCAATGAATCAGACCGCGCCAGTGTCGTGTATTCCTGCGGGGAAGATGTCAAAGGCGAAGAAGGTGCTGGACGAGGCCCGGGAGATCCAGAATCCCGAGCTGGATCTCGCGGACAAGGGCATCGCGACGTTCGAGGAGATGCCGGGATTGCGTGAGTCTCATCCCACACATCGTCGCGCTCGCGCTCGTGCGTGTATCGCGCCAAATTAGGCAACTTGTCGCGCCTGGTTCCGTCGCGGCCATCTGCGCGTCCGGACCACGTGGGCGTGCCAGCGTGCGCGCGCGCGCATGCGCGTCGTCCTTTTAAATTTGACACTTGGCGCTCATCGTGCAATAGCGGCTTCGAAATTTCATTTTATCCGTATATCGCGTATCATTTATAATTTATCATTTATTATATACTAAATGATACTCTTAAATATCATTTAATAAACGATAAATTATCAATTATATGATGTATAAATTAAATTTTTTGAAGCTTAAAATATTATGGCGTTGAAGTATAGATACATTTATATGTATATAAATATAGGATAAATTCTGAGCTTCTTTTAAAGTACATTACTTTGCTGTTGGATTTAATATTTTAATATTAATATTCACGAGTGGAAATATTTTTCTCGAAATAAAAAGACGATAAAATTAATATCACATAATCAATATTGCCAGATTGGGAATTATAAATACTAAGCAATAGTAAATGACTCTCGCTAAAATTACAGAGACTTTCTTATGTTTCAGTGAATATGATTAATGTAACAAGACTCACATTAAGTCACAATAAAATTCAAGGTAATGTAACTTAACGTATGTTTGATAATTCAATTGATTTAGATCAAATCAATAATTGCTTTCGACTTGTAGCTGTTCCACCGGGTCTCGCCAATCTAGTCAACCTAGAAATACTGAATCTCTTCAATAATTGCATCACCGAGCTGCCTATATCCTTGTCGCAAATGCCAAAGTTGAGAATCTTAAACGTAGGGTCAGTATAATTTGTAGGACGCGCAAAGTTTTAATTGCAAATCACGCGTTCGAGATTTATCAGATTATTTAACTTCCGGCAGAATGAACCGATTAGATGTGCTTCCTCGCGGTTTCGGCGCGTTTCCGGTTCTCGAGGTGCTAGACCTGACGTACAACAATCTCAGCGAAAAGAATCTACCCGGAAATTTCTTCATGATGGGTCAGTCACAATTATTAGATTGTTTAACGTGTCTTTTTATAAATCGCACATTAATCTCTCTCTCCTTTAGAGACCCTAAGAGCACTCTACTTAGCTGACAATGACTTTGAATATCTGCCGCCCGAAATCGGTCAATTGAAAAATCTGCAAATTGTAAGAATTGTCAGATATTTTCTTACAAAATGGACTTTGATATCTATTTGTTGATTTTCGCTTGTTGATTTGAGCTTATTCGAGATTAAAACATTTTAGCTCGTACTGAGGGAGAATGATCTGGTCGAATTGCCGAAAGAAATCGGCGAGTTGGCTCGACTTAGAGAGTTGCATATTCAGGGAAATCGTTTGACAGTATTGCCTCCTGAGATAGGTATGAAACGATAAAAATGCATAAAATAAGTTTATCGTAGAAAGAGCGCTGCATAAATTTACCTTACAGGAAACTTGGATCTAGTGAGTAACAAAGCGGTATTTCGAATGGAGTTCAATCCATGGGTTACTCCGATTGGCGATCAGCTGCAAGTGGGCATATCTCACGTTATGGATTATATTCGCTCGGAAACGTATCGATAGTAGGTTTCTATTGCCATTTGGAATTGCATTAGCAATTCACTCAAAAATTAAAAATGCAAAAAAATTTTAAAGCCTAAATTTAACGCAATTTTTTTGCAAGATTTCTGCTTTTAATATTATAATTTAAAATTATTTACATAGTATTATTGATCGAGGAGCATGGGCGATAATTTGTCACTTTTTGCAGTGTTTACAATCGACACCAAAGCGCCAAAGGCCCGCCACCTCCCATCGAGACTGATAAGAGCAAGAAGATCTCACGTGCTCGTTAACGTGTGCTCGTTTTTCGCATAATCTTGACTAAATAGTGCTATCTCTGACTAATCTCATTTCGGAGATTATATTTTCGTAAGACATATATACTGCCGATTAATCGTCCGTTCGCATTAATTAACTCGAGAACTAAATGGTGCCTTTTAGATATAGAAATAATACGAGAAATGAGAGAGATGTACTATGCATTTTAATAATATTGTTGTATTTTTTTTAATTGTCTATTTATATACGCACATATACATATATTATAAACATATATTATTTTAATCCAAAAAGAAATTTTATAAAGATTTTTTCAATAATCCGTTCCATTTTCTTAATATTAATAACAATAGACATTATTATTAATAACAATAGACATTATCGACTGACTTTTTATCGCTAAAAAAGATTTCTATAGATTTGTAGTTATATATGCCATCTTCAAAAATAATTGTTTTTAAAGATCACATAAGAAATCAATCGTTGAAAAGAGGATTCGTATGCAAAGCAAATTAGATTACAAAAACTTAAGACATTTTTATATAATTTAGAATCATAATTCTTATCGTGAAACCTATGATATAAATAATTTATTTTAATTTGTAAATAATTGCAAGAATTCATTCTTTATATTATTTTTAAGAGATTTTATTAATCTTTTTATATTTGAATTGTTTTGTAACGCAGAGTATAAATGATATATTTATCGGTGTAAAAAAATTTACTTGAAAATCAAAGCTTATTAAATTTTTGCATCGATTTCCATTGGTCTCTCTGGGCAACAAGAACAAAATCGTAAAACAAATCGTCTCGCCGTTAGTTTGCGTCAAACATTTCGGTGTCAATATTATTTGTTTATCCCACCTTTCCGCTGCAAGCTAACGCGTCTTCAAAATGGTAAATATCGAGAAATATATAGTTTAATTATTTGCCAATTTTGCGCGTAGTTCAAAATTACATTTTCTTTCACATAATTAAATATTGAATTATTCAAGATAAACTTCATCAACCTCGAAATAACACTATATATTTGAAATTAAAAATTATATAAATAAATTACAAATAAAATTATAAAAATTGGATTCACAATTAAGATTCTTATAATTTCATATAATTGTTAGACAAATATTTTTATAACAAGAGATGCGATTTGTAAGATTAATTAATGAAAATGGATAGCGCGAGGTACTTTCGATCCACATTGGCCAAGGCGGTGTGCAGATAGGCAACGCCTGCTGGGAGCTTTATTGTCTGGAGCACGGTATACAACCAGACGGTATGTTGCCACCGCAGACTTGTACAAACGACGAAGGCTTCCAGACCTTCTTCAGCGAAACGGGCGGCGGAAAATACGTGCCTAGGGCCGTTTTCCTCGATCTCGAACCCACGGTGATAGGTAAAAAATGGCGGAAAAAAATATATCGTGACGGTATAACAAGATATATCAGAAACATATCCGTCCTTAGACGAGGTACGCACGGGAACGTATCACCAGCTGTTTCATCCCGAGCAGCTGATCTCCGGCAAGGAGGATGCCGCCAATAATTATGCGCGCGGTTTCTACACCCTCGGCAAAGAGATCATCGACCTCGTGTTAGATAGAATCCGCAAGATAGCCGACATGTGCGGCGGCCTGCAAGGTTTCCTCATCTTTCATACGTTCGGCGGTGGCACCGGATCCGGCTTCGCCAGTCTGTTGATGGAACGATTATCCACGGATTACGGCAAGAAAGCAAAGCTCGAGTTCGCGATATATCCGTCGCCGCAGATCTCGACGGCCGTCGTGGAGCCGTACAACGCGATCCTGACGACCCACAGCACCATAAGTAATTCCGACTGCGCGTTCCTCGTAGACAACGAAGCGATCTACGACATTTGCCGGCGCAATCTGGACATCGAACGGCCGACCTACACGAATCTGAACCGGCTGATCGGTCAGATAGTCTCCTCGATCACGGCGTCTCTGAGATTCGACGGCGCTCTAAACATCGATCTCACCGAGTTTCAAACGAATCTCGTGCCCTATCCCAGGATACACTTTCCTCTGGTAACCTACGCGCCCATCGTATCCAGCGAAAAGGCCTATCACGAGCAGCTCACCGTGATGGAGCTCACCACGGCCTGCTTCGAGCCGGCTATGCAGATGGTCAAGTGTGATCCGCGGAAAGGAAAGTACATGGCCTGTTGCCTGCTGTACAGGGGCGACGTGGTGCCAAAGGACGTCAACGCCTCGATCGCGATCATCAAGACCAAGAGAACGATACAGTTCGTTGACTGGTGTCCCACGGGTTTCAAGGTTAATCGTTTGATGTTTTTTTTTTTTCAGAAATAATTCTTGGTTCGAGAATTATAAATGTTTATTTCACGCGCTGTAAAGAAGGATGGGAAACATTTCAATCTAATAGTTTAGAATATTCTTCAAACTATTTCGCACATTATACTTTAATATTGTACTTTTTTTGGTATCGGTGATATTAATTTTATGCGGGAATAATTAGGTAGGAATTAATTACCAGCCGCCGACTGTGGTACCGGGCGGAGATCTAGCGAAGGTGCAAAGAGCCATGGCCATGTTGGCGAATACCACAGCGATCGCCGAAGCGTGGAGGAGATTAAACAGAAAATTCGATCTCATGTTCAGCAAACGAGCTTTCGTTCATTGGTAAATTTTAGGCTGATTTTTCTTCCGTAAAATTAAAATTAAACTCTCAAACTCGGGTTTCATTCACGAATAAAACATCGCACCGTCAGGTACGTCGCCGAAAACATGGACGAGAGCGAATTTAACGAAGCTAGGGAAGATCTGGCTGCGTTAGAGAAAGATTATCACGAAGTCGCGACGGATTCTCCGGATATCGGTGGCGAAGAATTTTAAGAGACTTGCACGCATTTGGTGGGATAAATGAACCTTTTTCTCTTTTCTATTCGAATGTACCGTTTTTGTAGGATTTTTACATGGATTTTTTGTATTGTCTCGTATATTTTATGCATTATTTTTATTTTAGATATGAAAATTTATACGCGTCTTTGTGATGTAATAAAAAAAGTTGGATCATTTATGCTCTGCGATATCGAATTTCTTAATCAGAAACTTGAATCGTAGAGACTTTGCGGGAGATTCTCGGGAGAGAAACTGGAGAAAGACTGGAATTTGAGAAAGATGTAATAACGTTCGTAGATATTATAGGCTTTTTATTGTATAGAACAGCACGCGGCTGCGCGAATTATATTACATATGTATAAATTTCCGTCGGCATCTTTACATTACGGTCGGAGAAACTCTCGCATCGCGCACGTAAAACTTTTGTTCTTCCTCGGGTGTATGCAAGTGTGGTGTAAAAATCGTGAACATTTCGTATTTGTGCATGTTACGCTGATACGTGAGAAACTTAAAATAGATATTGCAAAGAAGACGAAAGAAAAGAAAACGTACCCACGTGGGACTAAATCTTTGTGAAACAAGTTACAATGTCGAATTAAATAGTCGTTAATCGTAATAATTACGATAATAATAATAAGAGCGATAATGTTGCGCAAATGATCGAGGCGTGGCCAAGCTGACGACAGAATAACACACGACAACTAATCACGCTGATCACAACGATAACGATGATGGATTAATCATAAACATTCGTCGTAATTATTATCAAGCATTACTCTATCTCTCTTTCCTTCTCGCTCTATCGTCGCTTCATCAATGACGTTTTTTTTTTTGGACTCGTTCTTATCATATCAATAGAATAATTATAATCTATTGTTACATTTTTTTTTTAATAGAATCTCGAACGCGCCGCTCGCTGGCAGACGCGCGATAATTTGCATCTTCCTCCTCGTATCTATAAAATTTCTCGGTCTCTCTCTCCCTAGGTATTCTACCTATCTCCCTCTTCCATTTACTTAAAAGGAAAAAAGGGGAAACGCTTTTCTTTTTATCATACTTTTTGGATTGGCAGACTGAGCCTGCCGCTCGCTGGACTAGAGATTTTCACTACCGCTTTATTGCGCATCTGTTATTATCGTCGGAAGAAGGATATTGCTCCTTCTTCGATTCGCGTTAAAAAGGGCCAAACACCTCGCCTCTCTTTCTCTCTCTTTCTCTCTCCCCCTCCCTCTCTTTTTCCCTTAGCTCGGAAATCGTTTCTTCCATTTTCTCTCGACTGTAGAAAATTCGTCGTCTTCCTCGGGCAAACGAATCGCAAAACACAGACGATTCTTTATGATACTTGTCGTGAACAATCTCGTTTCGTTCATAACAGATCAAAGGACGCCGTGCGAGTTCGCGTTTATTGAGGACATTCAGAGGCGAACTTTGCCTAGGGCAAGTCTTAGGTCTTTTCGAGATGAAAAATGTCTTACAAACACGCAATTGTAACAAAACACTGCCTCGAAAATTAAGCAGAAGTTTTCATCCGAAAACGTAACATGAATAAGACTACAAAAGTAAATAAGGTTTATAAATGTGGAATTTGAAATAGATTTTTTTTTAATCGCTCCAAGCTTCGAAAAGTATCCAAGAAGAGATTTTACTATGAAAATTCACAAGGATTATACCCAGCTTCCAGATTAAAGTGCTCGTAAAAAAGTTGCGCTTATTAAGATATGATTGTCAGACGTAAGTAATGATTACGCTACGATCTGTTTAACGTTTTAACGTCGCAGTAAAACGGATGTGGTTCAATTCGTTTGAAGCAAACTGTCGTTCTCGCTGCCTGCATGCGAGTAAAGTATCGCGGCTAACGGAGAAATAGGCGGGAAATGCTTAGGATCTTTGGTAAAATCCCGCCCGAAACATTGGGCATCATAAACATAATATCATAAACATTCAAGCATTATCGTTGAAGGCGAAAATGCTCGAAGAAATTAAGCAGTTTTGTAATCTTGAGCCCACCACTTTCTCGTGACTAAGATATAGAATAGATAAGCAAGATCCTTTCAATCATCCTGAAGGACGGCGGAATACGCGAATAAGCATTCCAAATGCCCTAGGCGTCGCAAATCGGTAAAGTTCGCGCTACGTAAATCACACGGTCCATTAAATAATAATAATAATGCTACGAGATAGTGACTATGTTAATTCACCAATCGTACTATAATTGGCAAATCGTAAAAATAATAGCAATCGTGGCAAACAGAACTGCTCGCGAGTAATTAAAGACAATTATAATGATCGAACAACTAATAATGTAATTGATAATAACGATAGTATTTTAATACTAATAATAATAAAAATAATAGTAATATAATAATTATATAATAAAATAATAATTAAAGGCTGGAAGAGTACGATAATAGTATAGTAATAGTAATATAGCGATAGTAGTAGTAATAATTGAGAGCGGTAATAGTAATTGTGGTAATTGTAGTGACGATTATGTCGCTTGTGAAAATATCTAGGATCAATCTGTCTCTTTTTGTCAATGACATCGCATTCATTCGCGCGTTTCTCTCACAGACTGGCAGACAGTATATCGATATACAAGCAAACTCAATCAACTACATCGATTTGTCATTCATTCTCTCTTTCTTTCTCTCTCTCTCTCACTTGTTCGAACCCACCGCGATTCATCTCCGTGTCCTCGCTTAATCGGTAACGGCGGCAGTGATCGCGATTTTGAAAGTACCGCTGCTTTCTTTGTGCACGATGCGGTGGTCCACCTATTGACATGTTAATTGACAACGACGCGATCTCATTGGCACGTCGGGAACTGCTTAATTTGACGCGAGGCGACTCGCGAAACAAATAATTACGTTACTTTCTCATATATATTTGACCTCGCGTTTCGTTAAAAAAAAAGATACAATGGCAGTGTGAAAACGGTGACTTTCGCTTCTGTTCTACATCATTTATTCGTATTCCGATGGTCGCGAGAGGACACGGGCGAGAAACGCGATGGATTCGACGCGGAAGGAAACCAAGACGACGGAAGCACAATGATGGACGCGGCGGCGGCGAAAACCGGATACAAGCACATCCGCGATCTCTCTCTCCCTCTCACTCTCACGTTCTCTCAATTCGGAACCGTTCAGGAGCGGTAGATGCGGATAACGTCGCGGATCGGCGCCCGGCAGAGCGGACAGTGGCCGCCGCCCTTGCCGCGCCACTGCTGAATCGCGCAGGTATAGCACATGCACATGTGGCCGCACATGTAGAGCACGCTGTCGATGCTGCGCTCGTAGCAGATGGAGCATTCGCTCGGCTGGCCGGCGAGCGTCGGTTGCAGGCCTTCGCTCCACTGCTGCAGATGGGACGACGTTGCGTGCGCCGTATGCGTCAAGGTGCCCTCCAGGCTCTGGTAGGTAACCGGGTCGACGTACGTGGACGAGCCGGTGCTGGCCATGGTGCCGGTTAACGGCGGCGAAGACTGTCTCGAGGAACCGGGGTGCGGGACCGGCGCGGGCGCGGCCACCGAGAGATGCACCGGCTGCGGGGGTGGATTCCTGTGCGTCGCGGACGCGTAGATGGGCTGCGGCGTGGGCGGCGGTGGCGTCGGGTAACCGGCCTGCGGTGGAAGATTCACGACGAGTACGGTACCACCGCCTACGGCCGGCTTGAACTGCACCATCTCGGAGAATCTTGACAGTTCGGTGGCGGCGTTGCTGTGGTTCGAGTGCTGCTGCTGCTGCTGCTGTTGAACGATGTTGGCGGGCGACGGGTTGCTCTGGCGCTGTCGAGGCGGCGAGGTCGGTCTGCTGGCTAGCATTCTGACACGCTGAGTACTCCCGTAGGCGTCCACGAATGCCCACAACTGAAGACTCTGGTCGACGTGCATGACGACGTTGGGCGGGCCGCCGTTCTTGCTCATCTGCACCTCGCCGTAGTGCGTGACCGTGAAGGCGATCTCGTCGCCAGGCTGCGGACTCGACGCCACGTCCTTGGAGACGACCCAGTACTCGGGACGGTCCAGCAGCAGGTCGCTGTCGTCCGGTAGGTCCTCCGCCGTGAGTCGCGCCGGGTCGCACGAGGTCAGGCCCAGTGCTAGAGCGCCAACGTACATCGGTTCCGTGGAGAGGATTTGCACGACCAGTCGCTCGCCCAGCAGCAACGGCCGACCCGTGAACGCGTAGCCGTGACAGAATTCCGTGTCGTTGCGCGTCGCCACGCACTGTTGATTGCTGAAACGGATGTTCCTGCCCCGAGTGCTGCGGAAAAACAAAACCAGGAAGCGGTTAGTCTTGGGAAACCGTGAAAAGCGGATGTCGAATTAGTTCTATGTGGCTGAACGACGGTACAGCGAATCGCTGGCGTCTCCTCCGCGGCTTAATGCTTTCCATCATAGACCGATGACTTTCAACTATCGCGTGCTATATCTCTTACACGCGAGTGCTTTTCAAGAAAATCGCGTAAAGCGAAACAAAAGCGCTATTAATCTAGACGACTCGGATCAGACGGCTGTGTGAATGACATTTCGAGGCTAAATTAGAGGGAAAGGTGCACGAACTAAAACTAGCGAGGGGAACATTTTTTTCACGACGCGTTGCATCAGCTTGACTAGCGGCCGAGAAACGCAAAGTAGACGACTTGGATAATCGATACTCACGAGTGGAAGGGCAGAGGAGTGAAGATGACACCGGGGGGTTGAAACCTGAGCCCGGGTAACTCGACGTCGGGCTCGTGATGGATCGACATGCTCTGCATAGACGGCACGATTATCCTTTCGACGTCTCGGCCGGCGTTGCTGGCGTCGTCCATGGCCGAGTGCCTGCTGTGCTGAGCGTTGTCCTCGTTGCTGTGCTCGGCGCCCCTGCGGATGTTGTTGAAGTGTTGACGATTCGGGTCGACGAACTCGATCGCCGTGCTGTTGCCGTAAACGTCAATGATCGCCCACAGGGGCCCGCGGGTCTCGACGCCGCTGAAGAAGAGGCCCTTCTCCTCGCCATTCACGCCAAAGTGCACGTCGCCGGCCGACGTGACGTAATAGAAGAGCACCGTGTCCCTCTCGGCGAACCGCTCGGCGAGCGCCTTAGCCCAGTAGCCGGGCTTGTTTGTCAAATCTGGACACGCGTATCTCGGCAGACCGCTCCGCAGGTTGATCGGATCGTTGCTGGTGAAGCCGAAACGGATCACGCCGCTCCAATTGTCGGAGATCTCCAGAAACTTGACGCAGACCTGGGCCCAAAAAGGCAAACATGTAGCTTAATTATGTATTAATTTGTTACGAGGAAAGAAGCTGAGAAAGAAAAAGAGAAGGAAATGTTGTTACGAAATTATAGAGACGAGCGATCGAGCGATCCTAAAATGGAATTTTATACTCGAAAATTGATTGTATCGGATCTCATCCCACGTTATTATAAGTTTACGCCAGCGCGATTAGTTTCGTCGTAAAGAAACCGAAAATGCCAACGTGCCACCCACACGCTCTATTACACAGAAAAAAAGGACATCCTTGTTTTGAAAATATATTTAGTTTCAACATGGAAATCTTGAAACGAGATTATATCGCGTTAATTAACAAAAAATATAATTGCTCGAATAATTGCTTACTTGAATGAAACCATTTTATATAGTTGAATCGAGAAAAATATATTCTTATGATTTAAGATTTAATTTTCCTGAAGGGAAAAGAAACAATGTTGAATAGAAAATAACATTTTTAAATCGAAGATTATAATTTTCATAAAGTAGAATTAAATAATTATATATTCTTGAGACGACAATTACAATATTGAAATAAGACTATAATATTGTTGAAATTTAAAATTATTAAATTCTTCTAAGAAGATTATAAATTGTTGCGTATATACGAAATAATGAACGCGTTAGTTTAAGTATGTAAGTTTTGATTTGACATTTATTTTTTTTTTTCTGTGTAACGACCGGTCTTCATACATTTATACGAAGGTCTTGGAAGATCGGCAATCGAGAATCATTTAGTTTAGCGTGACTGTACACTGAGAAAAATCGTTTGATTGTACCAACAAGACGTATATTGACGTGATTGAAAGCATTTTGATTAAATCAAACAAGAATTTCTAGTTATCATTAAAGACTCGATTTTTTAGAACTAGAATGTTTAATACATTTTACTATAAGGATTTGATTAGTATTTTCTGGTTGAATCTATAAAACTTCTTGTTAGATTAATTTCTTTGCTTGCCACTCTTAACTTTACTCGTATTAAATATTTGCTATGAAATATATATAAAGAACTAGTATTAACATTAAATCCAAAATATATTTTTCTTCTCTAACGAGCAGTAGTGCCAGAAAGAGGATGCTAGCTCTCTCATTGTGTGTGTTTGAACTGCATCCTCTTCTTGCATCACTGTTTATCAGTTTAATTTTAACAAACTAAATTTAAAATAATTTATTCAATAATCTGGATTGAATTTATGCAATAATCGTGTTGGAATTCAGAATATTAAACAGACTATTGAGATTAGATAGAACAAATTTTAGACGACTTGGTGCTGGTGAGTTTAGTATCATTAACCAGAAAATTTGGTAAATTTAACAGGAAGAAATTAATCAGATTCATCTTATAATTCATACAAGAATTCTGGTTCGTCCATTTTCCAACAGACATACTGCACAGAGAAAAATATCATTCTACTGCCAAAAAAAGCGATTACTCAGTTTATTTTTCTTTTTTTAAATAATAGTTTTCTTCAACAAAGAATATTCTTGATAATCTTCAAATATACTCATCACAAGTGTTAGAAAATCTCATTATCATGTACTCAAAGGAAGAATTTATTTTCTCTTCAAGAATATTGTAAAGTTGTATCAAAGAAAAATCAAATTTACTTTACGTCAACTCTTGTAGTAAGCAAACCAAATTTTTGTTTTAATTTAATATTCTTGACTAAAATACTGCACTTACTAAAATTCAGAATATATTCAATTAAATTTAATGCTTGTGTTAAACTTATAATATATTTGCGGATATACAAACTTATGATATACTTAAAATAAATAATATTTACTTGAATACAATATACATTTTTCTCTGTGTGGTTGAATCTACCAGAATTCTAATTAATGCAACCAGATGTTTTTCTCAGTGTACAAATCACGCTCGTTATCCAACACTACAAACAACAAATAGACAAGATAAGCTCATACGTGCCGCGAGCTCGTAATTTTAACATGGAACGATATGCAAAACAACGACTCGCGATGATAAAAAGGCCTCCCGGCCCATGATTGCGGGCAGCGATCCGTTCTAATATTCGAGAAATGCGATCGGCGATCTCTGAAGCGGAACGATAGCCGTTCGTTTCCCACAATTAAGCGAGATTGGATTAAAAGTCGCGGTCGCGACAAACTCACCTTCTCGCCCACTCGCACGGGTCTGGCGCTAAAGGTGACACCCTTGCAAAAGCTCTCGTGCCTCCGGGCGATCGTGCCGCCATTGCACAGCCTGATGTTGTCACCGTGGACGTGGTGAAACGTCAACGGTGGCAGGTTGTTGGTTCCCGCGCTCGAGGATCTGGGCGCTGCAACAGAAACGATCGATCATTAAATAACAGCGCTTTATATTCATATTGATTTGTAACTGCTTGTTATCTCGCCAGATTTATCTGTATGCGAATGTATGTGTACTTTGAGTTTCAATTTACTTGCTTCGCAAGTATGTTGTGTCGCAACTCACGTACTAACATCTCTGGAATGTGCGTGCATATGAATGATATGTAATGTTTATTTTTATCCAAGGCCACGGTATAATTATGACAAGTTCGAGGGAAAGATTAACTTCCTTTTTCCCGAATATACTTGTAAACTTTAGGAATTAACATGAAGAAGATGGTAAACATAAGAGGTGGCCACTTTATGGCATAACATTATATTAATTGGTTAATCTTATTAAACTAACTTTTTGCTGAGTTTCCATTTAAATCTATTATATATACATATGAATTATATTGTTATAAATAATATAGTTTTGACAGGGCGCGAATATTAATCAATATTTCGTATATATTTAATAAGCTATATTTTTTTGTTCAATAATATTGTGTTGAAAAATATAATTCGACAGTATGATATGCTGCTCATGTAATTATTTAAAATGAATAAATTCAATCTAGCTCTTATTCTATAGGATATTTTTGAAATACTGAATCTAATTTAAAAATTAGACTATTTTAATTTTGCTGAAACTTTTCCATTTCTTGAAGATTAGAAAAATATTAAATATTAATTTTTTAAAATTCTAATTCATATTCATATTTCGAAAAAATCCTACAGAATAAAGCAAGACCAAGATTTTTAAAACAATTACATGAGGAGTAGCGTGTCATTTTTAAATACTCAGAGGCTCATATTGAGCAAATTATCGAACAAAAAAGCCAAATATCCAAGATTTAAAAATACTGCCGCACTATTTGAGCATCAATACCCAAACACATGTGAAACGATCAAAAAGATCAATGTCTAATAATCCCCCAAAAAATTCTTAAAAATTATTCATGTTGCTGGAGTGGATTTTCACTTTGGACATTGTATCGTGGAAAAAAATCATTTCGATCGCTCGTTTTCGCGCGACGTGGGCGTCGTTGCTTGATTTCTCTTTCCTTCGAAGGAATCAAAATAGCGTCGCCGCAAGAAATAGGCCATCGACCGCGTTCTAGCGTCGTCGGGAAATTCACTCGAGACAGATAACCACTTCGCGGATGAGGAACAAAGGAGTTCTGCTCCGGTAACGCGAAGGAAAAGAGGGAGAGACTCGAGCGGGGAAACTCTCGGATACAAAAGCACACCTCTCGTCGGGGCACGTCGAGCGTTTCCACTCCGGTATTTCATAATGTCGGCTCGCCGATCCGGAATGCGGGGATCCTCCTGTAATATCTCGAGGCGAAGACGAACGTCAGTTGGCGCATCAACGTAAAGGGAGAATCTTCGTAGGATCGCGTCGAATCCTGGCCCTTGATTAATATTCATCCGCGATTCTTCAAATATCAGACACCATTTGTCATTTACTCACTTTGATTTATCACTCACGATATAATATCTAAATTGATATAATTGAGCAAATGTATAAATTTTAAACAACCTTTGCGAGGGGACATCTAAATACGCGGAATATTCGGTGAGCCTTTGTGTTGTCGATTTGAAAGTAAACCGGGAGTGCCGCGTCGATTCGACCGGCGTTCGCAAGAGCCTCCTTCTTACTGACCATCGATATGCCAAGTTGCGTGGTCGATGTTGTATGCGTGCCGGAAACCGCACGTTTCGTACCGGAAGCGACCCGCGCGCGGACGTCAAGTACGCGATCCTCTTTCTCCGCAAAACGGATGCGGCCCGAAAAACCACCGTTATGACAATGCAAGAGGAAGGTGTCGATTTACACCTCGATGACTTTGGCCGTCAACCTGCTTCCTCTCTGTATTTGTACAGGTAAAAGAGGAGGATGGACTGTACATGTTATGTCGGAAACTTTACATCAGGATAACGAAGAATAAAAAGAATCGTAATGAATAATATTTTGCCAGGAATTGATGGATCGTTAAAAACTAATCGTTTGTTCGCAAAGTGCGCTTTTAGCAAAATATACATTTACTCGCGAACATCCGCAGTCCACTCGTGAGAACTTCCTGTCCGTAATTAAACGACGCGAAGAAGCGCACGTGATAAGAAGTCAACGACGGATACTAATCCCTAACGGACGACCCGTTAATGAAACCGCGTATATCGTCGAGATCGACGCGTTAAAAATCGCGGACCGTTCGATTTCTCACGCTCCCGGTGAGGTGCGCGTATTAGGAAAGGCGCTAATTGTAATTTCTAATTCCCTCGTCGAGAACGCGGTCGCGCGTTTTTTCTCCCCTTTTCCTCGCACGCGGAACCGTTACGCGATGTAAAAAGCGTAATGCGTGGATTTCCAGGATTTTAAGCGTCGTTTCGACGCGAGGTCACGATTGCGAGGGTCAAACGTCGTCGTCCAGCTATCCGACTCCTTTAACTCCGGGGACGGCACCGCTAGGGATGGTCTGGATAAATCCAGACCTCACTCATGAGTGGGTATGGAAATCCAGACCTGACAATCATAAACGGATAATTTTTTAAATTCTACTTTACCCGTGGACGTAATTAAACTTTTCTCGCATGAATTAAACCGGTAAAAAAAATTTTTTTAATTCGACTTTACCCGTGAACGTAACTAAACTTTTCTTGCATGAATTAAATCGGTAAAAAAACATTTTTTTCAAAAATCAAATCCTACTCCCTCCCTCCCCCTGTCTCCTAATTGATTGTTATCCAGACCTGGAGACCGTAGTGCCACCCCTGTGTTTGACTTGCGCGGTTTTCGACAAGTCCTGAAAACGACCTGAAAGTACAATATCTCGTCCGCGACGAGGTAACTATTGCGAAATCATACGAAATCATACGAAATCACCTGGTTAGAGTTTTTTTCCTGGAACTCGTATATTATCGGATACAGATTACATTTTATTACGTCATTATGGAGACTAATAAAAATACCGGAATAAATTCAAGGATATTGAACGCTATTCAGAATTTCACTATTAAATATATGCATGGCCAATCTCTGCTGATCAAGTATCAATATTAATTTTTAAAACGACATTTCTGTATCTCAATTATGTATAATAAAAAAATATAAAAATAAAAGGGGGATACATGTTTTCTAATTAATTAATATATTTTTTTTAATATTACGCTTCGAAAATGAATTATCGCGCGTGCAGGATTCTCTCTCAGATTAAAATTGAACGACGATCAGCAGATTCAAAGTCGCACTGAGAAAAACATCTGATTGTATCAATTAGAATTCTGGTAGATTCAACCAGTATGTCTGTTGGGAAATGGACGAACCAGAATTTTTATAGGAATTACCAGATGCATCTGATTAATTTCTTCCTGTTAAATTTACCAAATTTTCTGTTAATAATACTAAACTCGCCAGCACCAAGTCGTCTAAAATTTTTTCCATCTAATCTCAAAAGTCTGTTTAATATTTCGAATTCCAACAAGATTATTGGATAAATTCAATCCAGATTATTGAATAAATTATTTTAGTTTGCTGGAAATTAAACTGATAAACAGTGATGCAAGAAGAGGATGCAGCTCAAACACACAATCAGAGAGCCAACATCCTCTTTCTGGCACTACTGCTCGTAAAAGAAAAAAAATATACATTGGATTTAACATTAATACTAGTTCTTTATATACATTTCATGACAAATATTGAATACGAGTTAAGTTAAGAGTGGCAAACAAAGAAATTAATGTAACGAGAAATTTTATAGATTCAATCAGAAAATACTAACCAAATCCTTATAGTAAAATCTATTAAACGTTTTAGTTATAAAAAATCGAGTCTTATCACGATAACTAGAAATTCTTGTTTGATTTAACAAAATGCCTTCAATCATATACGTCTTGTTGGTACAATCAAACGATTTTTTCTCAGTGCGGGATAGAACACGACCGTGATTTTCAACTTACACGGAACGAGATGGAGCAAACGAAGCGTATCGCGCCGAAAGTATTATACAATCCCGCGGATTGTACGCGTCGTTGTTTAGCCACGATTAGTCACGCAAGACGTGATTCTCGAGACGCATCTCGGTCGGCAGAGACGCCCGGCCGTGGGAATGTTATGACGTATACCGTTGCATCTCGGCGTTCTTGTTGGCCCCGACGTTGGAGCAAACCATGACTCCATTTACCCCTCGCAATCGGTCGTTTATTCGCCACTGCTGTTCTAGCGCGCCTCAAGGCGAGGAACGTTTCGCCGAGACAGCTGAACTTGGCCAGCGCATCTTCGTAAAGTGCACTTTGATGTTTCTTGGCAACAATCCTCGGACGCAAGATCGGACTTTTATGCATTTCTATTTTTTTTTTATAATATCCCTAGTATCCCTTTCGTCTAAATAATCTTTCGAAGAATATTTGGCGGCAATCGATCTAAAAATTTATCGAGAATTTACCACATTCGAGCTTTTTCGAGCTTCCATAAATTTTTATCCAAAGGTCACGTGTCCGAGGACTTGGCATGAATTACTCAGAGTCGAGGATTAAATCGCGAACGCGATATGACGTGGTGCTCGAACAGTTACGCGAACATCGGTAATCCGCTGCTTCGACGCCGATTCATCGTCGTGATCGTCATTAAATGCGACGCGATGGGTTCTTTTCGAGGGCGAGCAGCTCCTGACGCAAATCGTGCGAGTCAACGAGAAATCTCCTCGGTCGTAGTAATTGGTCTATACCCGCGCCTATGCCGCCATTCGCCGGTACATCTCGTGGGAAACCCGTGACACACATTTGCGCGGAAGTGCACCTCGTAGACTGCAACGCGGTGAATCTCTCAGCGCGTCTGATGAGCCGCGATGCTGCGTCGCGTCTCCTCGGGAGACCGAGTTTAATTAAAATCTCGTTTCCGACTATGACTCTGCCGGGAGCGAAATGACAGATGTTGCGAGTAGCGCAAGAAAATTGGAGGTAAAACGGTAACATGTGGCTAACTTGC